AAAAAAAAAAAAAAAAATTCAGTGGTTGATAGGTTGGACACGGATCTGATATAGTAGGCCTCCTTAAAACTCAGAATTCACATGTGACCACTGGCTCTGGGGCACTGTGAAAGAAAAATGTTCACAACTCTACCTAACAACATTTAAAGATCTTGAAGCAGCAACCAGGAACTGTTTGATTTTATACATCAACATGAAAGAAGCCACTGAAGGGAGGAAGGAGACTGAGGAGATGCTGGTTAAAGGACACAAAATTTTAGTTAGATGAGAAGAATATGAAGGTATATGAAAATACTTTGTAAATTTTAAAGACTATACAAATGTTGTTATCAACATTATCCTGTCCCAGTTTCTAGGTACCTACATCAATTATATCACCTTAATAAAAATATTAAGCATAATATTTTAATTTTTCATGTGCAAATCATATATTTAAACATCTTTATAGTCTGTTAGGATAAAACAGTTGTTCAAGCACCGTATTAGGCACATGCCAATGGCTTATTATTATAATTTCTGTCTCTTCTTCTTTTCTCTCTTTTTCTATGGCACTTTGGAGGTATAAGAAAACTAAAGTTTATTTCAGTGGGATTAGATGTTGACAGCCATTATTATTCTATATTTAGTTATATAAATACTTTTCTGTTCTTGAAAGCTAAGCTGAATAATCAAATTATAGCCTTTCCCCCAAACAAAAATCCTTTACCTTAACAGTTATATTTTTTGGGCCAGTTAAATTTTAATTACCAAGGAAGTCACAATGCCTTCCATCTCTTATGGGGTTAGATACCAGAATATAACAACTCAAAATCAAACACTCCAGCATTTCTCCTCTCCCTCTCCCTCTCCCTCCCTCTCTCCTCTCTCTTCTTTTCTTTTCTTTTTTCTTTTGAGACTCAGGGTCTTGTTCTGTCACCAGGCTGTAATACAGTGGCACAATCCTGGTTTATTGCAGCCTCAACCTTCTGGGCTCAAGTGATCCTCCCACCTCGGCCTCCTGAGTAGCTGGGATCATGGGCACACACCACCATGCCCAGATAATTTTTATAATTTTTCGCAGAGACAGGATCTCATCATGTTGCCCAGGCTGTTCTCAAACTCTTGAGCTCAAGTGATCCACCTGCCTAGCCTTCCCAAAGTGCTGGGATTAGATGCATGAGCACCACACCTGGCCCAGCCTTGCTGCTTCTAAAGCAGCACTGCTCCTTAATATTGTGGTAATTAATTTAAACTATTAAATGGTTCTACAAATTTTCTCTCCAGCTGGGTATGGTGGCTCATGCCTGTAATCCCAACACTTTGGGAGGCAGAGGTGGGCAGGTCACTTGAGATCAGGAGTTCAGGACCAGCCTGGTCAATATGGTGAAACCCCATCTCTACTGAAAATACAAAAATTGGCTGGGCATGGTGGTGCGTGCCTCTAGTCCCAGCTACTCAGGAGGCTGAGGCA